TTTCATCAAGTTGGCAAAGTGTCAGGCCCTGCTCCCACACCAGCACAAAGAGCACAGCCTGGCTGGTCATTTTGCCATTGCCAAACATGCAGTTTCTTTATTTTTGAATGAAGAGACCCTCCCCCTCCGATCATTCCTTACCCTTTGTTTGAAATTGGGATGTAATCTCAATAATTGGATTTACCAACTTATGTGTGGATTTTTTTTTTTTTTTTTTGAACCGGGGATTGAACTCAGACACTTGGAACTTATGTGTTTAATATCAGAAAATTGAGTTCCAAAATGGTGTGTTGGCACCAGTGTTTCTCAGTGAGGGACCAGCTATGCACTGACCTCAGATTGCTTCCTGGTCCTGCTTTCCCACTGCAGTTGTTTGTGTGTCTGTTGCCCTCCTTGGCTAGGTAAGCTACCAGAAGCCCTGGACAGAAGAGGAACTAAACCTAGAAATTGCTGTTGCGCCTTGGGTAGGACTGCTCAGAGATGGAGTGCCTAGGTAGCAGGAAGCCGCTACTGCTGTGCTGCAGTCTCCCAGAGGAAACCTGGAGAAATGGTGCCCCCTCCTGCTAGGCTCCCTGTGGCAGGCTGCCTGGGCTCTTCAGATGCAGCATCCCAGGGAGGAGGAGGGAGCACAGGCTTGAGCAGGCCCATGGGCACAGAGCACTGTCTTCTCATCAGTGTGGTTGCTGTACTAGCCTTGTCCTGCAGTTTAGTTTACTGTATTGGCTTTCATTACTAAGGATTGAACCTAGAGCCTTCTCACTGAACTGAATCCCAGACCTTTTTGTTTTTTTAGACAGAGTCTAGTTAAATTGATCATGCTGAACTTGTGATCCTCCTGCCTTACTCTCTCGCTATGCTGGTGTTAAAGATGTGCCTCACTGTGCCAGAATCACACTGTGTTTAACTTTGAAATAATACTAGCTGTTTTGTTTTGCTATGCTTTGCTTTGCTTTTGAGTACTGGGGATCTGAACTCAGACCTAAGCATGGGGTCCACCAGTGGGCCAAACTCATAACCCCACACTACTAGCATTCATTTTGGTATATTTATTTTTATAAGGATGCCGTGCTTTTCTTATTTAACCTAAAAACTATATTAAGATTTATTTGATTGATTTTTCCCCCCCTACGTGATAAGGCAAGACATTTATATGGCTTTTGGCAGCACCATGTGAACCCAAATGAAAGAAAAGTGTGGGGAATTCAGTGGAACATAATGCTGGCTTGCAAAGCCTTGTACAGGTGGGAAGTGCAGAGAACAGGGTGGCCCTTCCCCCTCTTAATTCATACAGCCTAACCAGGAAGCACCAAGTTTTCCTGGTAAGGCCATGGACCTGTCCATATGGCATTTGGCTGTGGACAGTGGAGCTGTGAGAGGCCAAATGGGAAAAGGGGCAGGCCCTGTGGGTCCATTGTACTCTGCACCACATGTTCTGACCTTATTTGGTTGGATGTGGATAATGATGGGCACTTAGGGATTTATAATAATGTGATGATAGAAATAATGATCACATGTGAAACTGAGGTGCTTCTCAGTGAGCCTGAGTTCCAGTTGGCTCCTGGGTAGCTAGAGCCCTGCTGGGACGGCCAGTACCTTTCCTTGGGGAGAACTGGTCTCCCCTCCACAGTTGCCCTAGCATCTGTTCATCCATGCTGCCTCAGCCTCTGGGGCCCCTCTGTGTGGCCATTCAGTCTGCCCTGCAGCCTTACAACCAACCTTCACATCCTCAGGAGTTTGGGGTGGTGCTTTCCGATAATTGTGCAGCAGTAGTACAGTCTTCTCCTTCCTTGCTGCTACTCCTGGAGGCTCTTCTGTGTGTGGTAACAACTTTGTGGAAAAGAAGAGCATGCAGAGGCTGCAGCAGAACACACAGTGCAGGCCTGGAGGACAGAGTTTGGATCTGGAATTACATGGCGAGTCTTGGATGATAGCCATGTCTTTCTGAGGAGGTGGTTAGAGCAAATAATTTGCTTAAAAACGAATAGGTCTGAACTTTTCACTGTGTGGCATGGGTAATGGGAAAAAGCCACACATGACAAGGTAGAGGGAAAGAACATTCCAGATGGAGGGAACAGTTTTAAGTAAGCAGGGTTCCTTTGGACCTTTCCTACCTACCCACTTGCCTCCTTTTCAGGCCACTTATCTAACTCCATATACAGTGCCACCTTGGAGTCAGAATATTCATTTGCTTTCATTTTCAACAGTAGATTGTCTTCTTCAGGATGTTTCACCTTAAATCTGGACAGATTATTAGGAGTCTTGGACACAAGAAATTATAGAGAAGGGGCACCCCCTAAATGGCTTTGTCTCACCTGTCTTGGCTGAGCTCTGATCCAAGGACCCCTATGGAATGGCTTCTGGTCCAGTTTGTTCTGCCTCAAAACTGTGTGGCCCAGGCAGGTCTCGCTCTTGTTTGTTCCAAGAGTGATGGTTGTTGCCAAATAGTTTAGAACCCACCATGAACTTGTTGTGTAGCCTCAGCTAGTTTGATGTTGTGATCTTTCTGCCTCAGCCCCTTGAATGTGTTGGGATCTCAAGTGTGTGTAACCATGCCCAACAGGAGAGCTTATGTAGATCTCTGAAGCCATCAAAGTTACTAGCTTTTAAAATCTACCCCAAATACCAAACAGAAATAACAGCCCAAGTTTTGTAGTTGTTTGGCTTATACAGACTTCTGTTTCTTGGCTTCTGCTGCCCCATCCCCAGTTTTTACCAACCCTTCATATACGTAGTCATATGAATGTAATCATTTCTCCTCTACTGGTGTACATTCACTTGGTTTTGTGTATTTCCTCGGCTTCTTGACAGGTTTGATGTAATTGATTTCTTCCTTATAAGGGTACAGCTGGATTTCTAAAGACAGGCCATCTTCTGTAAGGTCCCACATTCTGTTATTCTCGTGAGCATTCTAGTTTCTCTCCCTCAACTCCAAGAACCCAGCACTCACCTCACCTCTGATCCTCTGTGACTGAGTCCAACAGTATTTTCTTGGTAAACCATTTTTGCTGTACTAATGAGACGAAAGGTAATGCTTCCTCTGTGCCAGGGTGGTGTAAGTGCTGTGGAAGGAATGGGTGGTCCTCATGTGGGGCTGGGTGCAGCAACTTGCCTTCCTTGCCTTCCAGAAGCCACCTTCCAGTATCCCTCAACTCAGCCTGCTTCTCCTACCCTCAGCATCTCCAGGTGTAAATAATCTGGATTCCTCCACCCCATTCATTTCTTTGTTTCAAGCATTAGAGAGTGAGTCCTGTAACCTTGAACCATAACTTCACTGTCAGGACTTTGACTTTCACACATATTTAGTACAGGGTCTCATTACTCAGATCAGACTCAGGGATCCTCCTGTTTTCAGCCTCCCAAGTGCTGGATTACAGGTGCATGCCACTGCGCCCAGTCTCAGGGCTCTGCCTTTGCAGTGTGTTTGTTGCTCAAGCTCCTTGGTTGTGAGGCCAGTGCAGCAAGGTTAGCAGCTCCATGGTCCTCCTAGAAATGGAGGATGAAGAGCTACATCCCAGACCTGCCCTTTGTGACCAGGAGGCACTTAATTTCCAGGTTTCATCTAGTCCTCACAAATGTTTAATCACTTGGGAACTTGGCTGTTTTCTCGGAAGATAATTTATTTTGCTGCCATTTAAAATTTGTTACTACCTTATTTTTCATTGTCTTTCTGAGAAAGTCATCAGGCACAAAGTGCCTTCTATTTGAACAGTGGTCGAAGTACTTTATTGTCGAGGTCCTGAGATCGTGACGTTCCTCCCTCGTGACCCACTCTTGTCATCTGTATGTCTGTGTTTGATTTTCACTGTGGGTGCAGTCTTCATATCGTGTGTGGTATTTGTTATTGCTGATGTTAAAAATGCATTGAACACTTGATATCCTGTTCACATGTAGGCAGTGTTTTTGTCAAATTCCTGCAGTACTCAGAATGTGAAGGGATCCATTTTAATCTGCATTAAGGAATTTTAAATTAAAAAAAATCTTTCAGTAGACCAAACGCAAAAAGATGGAGCAATCTAATATATTAGAAAAGGATTTTCTTTTGTTTTAAAACATGTGGAAGGGCTAAGAGAAGAAATAGGGTTGTACTTGGTCGGTCTGCTGGGTCTACCCTTCTGGACAGGGTGTTGCACTGGGGATCTATGGCTGGTCACACGCAGCGGATGTCCTGTGTGGCCTTACCTTCCTCTGAAAGTGTGCAGTGGCTGCTACCGGCTACCTGTGAATTGAGTACACAAAATTGAATGTGAACATTTTTTAGGAACTTAAAAATGACCAGATGCTGGTGTATCTGTTGAATGAAGTAGGGCTTGTATTTTTATTGACTGTAATTATTTTACATTATTAAAAAACATACATGCATTTGAAACAAATAGAGGAAAAAAATAATGAAACACGAAACTGTCCCCATTTTGCACAGCATTGCTCTCATGCTGTCTGAATTGCTGTTTTTCTCTAAAAGTGTTCCTCAGTGTCCCTCCTTGGGCTTCAGTAGTTTCCAAGGCTCCAGACAGTGAGGTGACTGCAAAAGAAGCCCGCTCTGTCCTGTAACAGAATAATTTACCTTTTCTTCCTCACTGTGGACCTACATAAAAGTAGAAAACTATGAATCTGTTGAGTTTTATGTGCCATCTTTTAAATATTAGGCGCAACGGTAGTGGGCGCACACATACTTCCTGGCATACGCTTTACATCCATGTATAAAACACAGCCCTTTCACCAAGCTCATTTTTATTTTTTCCCCATTATTTTATTGATAAAGAAATAGCAATGAGACAGTTTCAAATCAAATTGGTAGGACAGTTTCAGTAATTAACACATTGCATACTCTCTTTCACAAGGCTTATTGCACATTGAAGTAGGCCTGTGGTGTAAGAGGGGGCTTAATTAGAGAGTGCTTGAATTGGGCCCTTTAAAAAAAATTCTTGTATGTTATGCTTTTATTGCTGCACATAGGTCCGTATATTCCGGTCTTGCCTTATTTTTTTAACTTGCTTTTTCAGGCCCAGGCTGCAAGCACAAAGGAAGTTTGCTCAATCTCAGCCGAATAGTCCGAGCACAACTCCAGTGAAGATAGTGGAGCCTTTGCTACCCCCGCCAGCTACTCAAATTTCTGACCTCTCTAAAAGGAAGCCTAAGACGGAAGACTTTCTTACCTTTCTCTGCCTTCGAGGTAAGCTTGCTGCCAATCTGTTTGGAAGGAGCAGCCTACTTGACAAAGCTGTGGCCTGAAACTCACCCAGGGACCATTGTTGGCTTTGCTCTCTGCCTTTCCTGCCTTTCATTCTCCAGCCTGATGCTAGAATTTTAAGTAAGGAATTTTGCTGAAAAGGAGCTTCCTGTCTCATGGACCAGCTAATATAAGTGCCACACACTAACCAGATTGTGCTACTGCAGCTTCCAGCTATTTGTTGAGTCTTCCTCTATTTTTATTTGAATTTTATACCTGCGCCTTAGCTTCACAATACAACTTGTAAAGATTATAGTTCTAATTTTAATTTAACTTCTGCTGTGGCCCCTTCCATCACGTTGCCACATAAAGTACCTTCAAGGAGCTGTGGGTGGGCTGAGGTCTCCTCTCCTTTCCTGCAGCCTTTCCCATTACCTGATTGCTTTCCTTCACCTTATGAAAACAGCAGCAGGACTTTTGAAAGCCTGTTTCAGAAAAAAACTCCCCCATGGATATGAATAGGATGCACTAACAGAATGCAAGGCCCTTCAATTTTAAATTTTTTTTTAAACGAAGGATATTTTTGAATTTAAATGGAACAAGTTGAGGAAAGAAACATAATTTTCTAGGAGGAACCTTGAGAACATTGAGGGGATGGAGGGAAGGAGCGAGGGAGCCTGACTTTGGAGCATTCCTCAGGTGGACAAGGTGAGCTTTGGCGACAGGGTGAGTGAGAGGAGCGATTTTATGATATTTTGCACATCTGTGGAGATGCTCCAGGTACAGGCTTAAGGGCCTG